ACACTCCTCATACCTGATATTGTTGGTAGCACCGTCGACCTCATCCTCTGAAGCCGCCAGCTCCTTCTTCAGCTCTTCGACCCGACCTCTGAGGCGCTTCACCTCACTCTCGTACTGGTCGGCACGTCGAGTCGTGTGCTGGAGTTCCACTGACTTGTCGGCCAGGACTTTCTTGAGCTTTGCATGTGCATGCTTGAGTTCCGACAGTTCCTGTTGTTGGAAAAAGGCCATTTAACTGGTTGGCCTCCTTTAAATCACAGTACTGATATAATGTCAAAGCAGGGAGTCAGACAGTGACCTATGATGATGGTATGAACAAAGATAAAAATAAATGTGAAAAGATAGAGAGTGTATACCACAAGGAAAAGTGCCTATGTATGAATGTGTGTGTGTGTGTGTAAACATTTTATACATTATATATATATATATATATATATATATATATATATATATATATATATATATATATATATATATATATATATATATATGAAGTATCTGATATGTTTAAATTATATTATCAGAAATATATGTCAGCAAGATTACAAAACAGAATTATATATCAGATGTGAGCTGAAGATTCATTTGACATCCATGACCTGTCACTCATGTGGGTTAGCAAAGAGGTGTATACTTTTGGTGTTGGCACTATAGCATAAATCACAATAGTGAAACATATAACACAGGGTTGAGTATATATATCATACAGAATTATAAACAGATACACATAGGAAATATCTTGTTACTAGTAACAGCAAATCTTTGCAAGACAAGCATTCACAAGCATGGTCTTTATTTTGACCTTCAACTCACCTTATATTTATCTGCAATCTCTTGCTTCAGCTGGGCAACGTCAGAATCGGGCGTTGAAGCTGCGAGTTTGTTTCTCTTGTCTAACCTCTCTTCTAAGTCACTGACCTGTGCTCTAAGCTTCTTGTTGTCCCGTTCCATGCCTATTTTTTCGCTCTCAAGCCTCTCTCTTCGGCCCCATTCTTTGGCATTTTCTTCTTGCAGACGTTCCAGTTCTGCTCTGAGATCTGCTAGCCTGAATAAATAGTAACATTATATTTACTGAGGTTCAAAATAAAGATGTGTTACACTTGCAACCTATTCTATATGACAGCACATCTAGAAAAATGGTAAATGGAGTTTCACTCAGCTATTTTGAAACCTAAATAATGTCCTGATAAAAAAAAAAAAGAAGAAGAAGAAAAAAATCAACAGTGTAATCATGCTTATATTTCCCTACATGATTACAGAAAACAATAACAACAAAAATTATGAAACATCTGGGAACAACCACTAACCTACGATCGACACATTCTCTTGACGATGCCTCAAAGAAGAGAGTGTATACCACAAGGAAAAGTGCATATGTATGAATGTGTGTGTGTGTGTGTGTAAACATTTTATACATTATATATATATATATATATATATATATATATATATATATATATATATATATATATATATATATATATATATATATATATATATATATATATATATATATATATATATATATATATATATATATATATATATATATATATATATATATATATATATATATATATATATATATATATATATATATATATATATATATATATATATATATATATATATATATATATATATATATATATATATATATATATATATATATATATATATATATATATATATATATATATATATATATATATATATATATATATATATATATATATATATATATATATATATATATATATATATATATATATATATATATATATATATATATATATATATATATATATATATATATATATATATATATATATATATATATATATATATATATATATATATATATATATATATATATATATATATATATATATATATATATATATATATATATATATATATATATATATATATATATATATATATATATATATATATATATATATATATATATATATATATATATATATATATATATATATATATATATATATATATATATATATATATATATATATATATATATATATATATATATATATATATATATATATATATATATATATATATATATATATATATATATATATATATATATATATATATATATATATATATATATATATATATATATATATATATATATATATATATATATATATATATATATATATATATATATATATATATATATATATATATATATATATATATATATATATATATATATATATATATATATATATATATATATATATATATATATATATATATATATATATATATATATATATATATATATATATATATATATATATATATATATATATATATATATATATATATATATATATATATATATATATATATATATATATATATATATATATATATATATATATATATATATATATATATATATATATATATATATATATATATATATATATATATATATATATATATATATATATATATATATATATATATATATATATATATATATATATATATATATATATATATATATATATATATATATATATATATATATATATATATATATATATATATATATATATATATATATATATATATATATATATATATATATATATATATATATATATATATATATATATATATATATATATATATATATATATATATATATATATATATATATATATATATATATATATATATATATATATATATATATATATATATATATATATATATATATATATATATATATATATATATATATATATATATATATATATATATATATATATATATATATATATATATATATATATATATATATATATATATATATATATATATATATATATATATATATATATATATATATATATATATATATATATATATATATATATATATATATATATATATATATATATATATATATATATATATATATATATATATATATATATATATATATATATATATATATATATATATATATATATATATATATATATATATATATATATATATATATATATATATATATATATATATATATATATATATATATATATATATATATATATATATATATATATATATATATATATATATATATATATATATATATATATATATATATATATATATATATATATATATATATATATATATATATATATATATATATATATATATATATATATATATATATATATATATATATATATATATATATATATATATATATATATATATATATATATATATATTCCTTGACGGCCTCTTGTCGAGATGCTCGAATGTCCTCCAGGCGGGCGCGTAATTCATTGGCCTCTGACTGCCATTTTGAAACCTCACGGTGGAGTATCAATTTTTCACTGTGGAATCCAATGTTAGTGTGAGAAGAATAAAGTATCTTTATACACACACACATACATACACATAGACAGACAGGCAGATAGACACACACACAAATATAGACAGACGGACAGACTTTCACACACACACACACACACACACACACACACACACACACACACACACACACATAGATGGACAGACAGATAGACACATACATATATAGACAGACACACACACAGACACAGACACACACACACACATATAGACGAACAGACAGATAGACACATTAGCATAAGGCAGTTGAAAGATAGATACCTCTCCATATATCAAGACCTCTATATACAGGAATAGTAATATCTGTCCTAGACCAATCAATTTCTAGCACAGAAAACTGTACTTTTATCTGTAGGTAAGTGTTCTCTGGAAGATTAACTAAACCTTGAACATAAAAATATTTATTTATATTCTTGTATGCATTCACTGTGTAATGCATAAGCAATAAGCAAGTAATAAGAAAGCAATAAGGAATCATGGCCTACTTTAAATACTCATTCAATCTAGGTGTCATAGCTAATAGATGAACAAATCTGTATAACAATAAACTACTGAATGCCCAACACATGACATACAATGGCAGTTTAATGTAATTTTTTTGTATGTATTTCAACAAAACCAAGGAACTTGTGAGTATTTGGAGTTACCTTTGATAACATTATACACACTCACACACACACACACACACACACACACACACACACACACACACACACACACACACACACATACATACCATTCTATCTATTTCAAGCTCCTTTACTGTATGTTTCTCTGGATTGAACATCAGCTAAGTGACCCATCTATGTCCTTTATTGCATCATCACAACAACATCCTTTTGAGCAGTCTGACAATAACCACTAAATGCTTGATCTCTAAAGTCTGTTTTTGCTTTTAAAATACCATACCAACCCTAAGATACTATAAGTATCCCTCGAGACATCATCATATACTCAAGGTTTTCAATGAATGCAAGTTGTTACAAATATGCTAACATCTTATACCGCTCAGAAGCACAGCTACATACGGAGTTACCTGTTTTATAACCACAGACTGCATAGCTACATAAAACTATATATGATTAAAAGAATTACCCACAGCAGACATTGTCTGTTGCTAAGGAATTACTTGTAGCAAATAACTGTAGTTTTAAAATGACAAATGGCTATTTACTGCAATGTACACAAGTTAACCGAAACAGTACTCAATAGTATTATATAAGACACTGTTTGCATTTGAAAAAAGTTCCCTTTCTAGTTAAATTATCAATGCTACACATATGTATGATAAAGAAGATTTCATATCATAAAAAACTATATGGTTCAGACATGTGTTATTTTGAAAGGGAAGAAAAAGGATAAAAAAAGAAAGACAAAAAGTATGGTAAAACCTGCTATAGAGTCATACGTAAAATACAAGATAATGTGTAACATCTTAATAAGAACTAATTGACATTACATACAAGTTAAACACCTACATCTTTAATTTTTTTAGTAGAAAAAATGTGGGAGACCAAAAAACTACAAAAGTAGTCACATCTTAACCCATTGCCACCGGGGAAAATGAACAAAATATGGGGGAAATGCAGTACTCATTTTTTATATTTTTGTGAAATATGTCCATAGATGGCTCTGCTAGTCCTGCTTTCACCTTTCCTTGAATTGGCGGGAAAAAACGTATTTTTACTAGTGCTATAAATATAGATGGTGTTATTTTTAACAGCAAATTAGGATAACGTTAAATATTTTCGTAAATCGATGAAACGGGTGAACGGGCGAGACAGGCAGTATTCGTAATTGGCTCATTTGATACTTAGTACAAGTGTAGCCATCTATGTGTAAAAACAATCAAACAAGTCGACTCACAGTGGGCATGGCATGTATTACACTTCCTCATCTCCTGTAAACTCACTTCATTTCATATCTTACCAGGGGTGTAACATCCCCTTCCCAACCTACCAACAGTGATATTAATATGGGAATTCATACTCACTCCTCAAGTCCAGAACATATAACGTATATGAGCTAAGACATGGTACATGTTTATGATACTTATAATGAAGGTTGCTGGTAAAGAAACCACAAACATTATCAAAAACAACACACCATGAATATCAGAAGTTTCTCTCACTTTCAGTTTTTCTATTTTGCAAGCACATTCAAGTGTCCAGATGAGAAAGAATATACTAGAAAGTATATATTTGCTGAGTGCATTTTGTGAAAGTACATAACTAAATGGATCTGATATGCTCCAGCCAATACACGTGTTTTTTCCATTACATAATCAACCACTTCTATATATGAAAATAATCTTCTCTAACTCAATAACTATTATTAAGAAAGATGGTCATCCTCATGTTATGTAATAAAAGATAAAAAATAAAAGTTCTGTTCACAATTTCCTTGAGGTGTTTTAGACAAAGTATGTGTGTGCAGGAATTCTGTGAAAAACATGCCATCTGTGAGGCTTACATACTAACTTCTAGCCTGCCATGGACAGGTTAACTGATCTAAAAAAATAAAATAAAAGTCTCATTTTCATAGATTTTTATGCAGTACTTACTCTCTCTCTGCCTGAATGGTCTTCGTGGCTTCTTCCAGCCGCAGCTTCATCATCTTCAGCTGCTGTTCAAGGGTTTCTTGCTCGGGAGTGATGCCAGTGTCATCTATGACTGAGCCTCCAGTGCTGCTTTCCATCACACTTCCACCATTGCTTGTCCTCCAGCCTCTCCTGTTGGCACCAGGGTTGGCATTGGCACAGGTATCGCTGGGCCGGATAGGCTCCTCGTAGCCTCCCTCACTACACTCGCTACCGCCGCACACTTCACTCATGGGGTCTGACACTGCCGATATTCTAGGATTGATGTGGCAAGTGTCTGGTAAAGGGTCTGACATGGTCGATATTCTGTGGGATGGGGACGGCTGTGTACTGCTGTTACCACTCCCAGTGGGTGGCAATATTCCACTGTCTCTGAATGCCTGTTCTTGCTGCTGATTGTGGATTAGTTTCTCCTCCACGTCATTCTCCCGCTGTGGGTGGTGGCAATTTTCGGGCATCTCCTTCACTGCACTATCTTTCAAGTACTCATCACAAATGAGGTCCTTGACCTCTCGTCCTGCACGGCACTTCTCACTCAGGCGTGAGGCCTCGCTGGCCTTGTGGGCATACACAGACACATTCTCGACACCACTCTGGGGAATTCCTGCCTCCACATTTACATTCTCCTCATGGTGGCTTCCACGAGAGCCAAACATTTCCTCTAGGAGGCTGAAGTTGGTGTTCTTGGCATCACGGATGAACTGGAGTTCGTCGCTGGACAGCTTCTCTGCTTCGGTCTGGGTGATTGGACGGGCGGGAGTGCTGCCATCTCTCTCGGGTGAGTCTCCTTTGTGGTTGTTCTGGGCGAGGGGGAGGGCAATAAGAAAAATAAGAATCTTACAGAATATCAAATATAAAGAAAAAGCAAGAGTAAACAATAGGTAGAAAAATAAGAGAAAGAGAAGTAGAATACAGAAAGGGGAAAGGAAGCATAGGTTGACAAATTGTAAAACCTCTGGGGCAAAGATATTGCATGACCAATGACTTTCACTGAGAATAAAGAATAGTTGTTTGTATGTAAAGTTTTGAGGGAATGGAGACTCATTGAGATTTATTCAAATGCAGTATATATATGGAATAATTATTTTCTAATAAAATAAACTTCTAAAGATGTCATTACCCACTAATGGGCTAAGTAGAGTGAACTGATATTCACAACATGCAACCTTATTTTTTCAACTATGTTAAAGCAACCAGGAGATGGAGGTAAAGACCAAGAAAAAATAAAGGAAAAAAGAAAAAACTAAGAGAAAAAAAAGAAAAGGAAAGAAAAGAAATATGCAAAAAAAAAATTTCCTACTAAATGCAAAACAATCTTTACAAATTACTAAAAGAAAAAAATGGAAATGGGATTAAAACAACGCAAAACCAAGAAAAGAAATTTCTCACTGAATCCCACAATACTCACAATATCCTCCGTATCTACCTGATCTCTCAGATCGGTCGGCTTTTCCACCAGGTCGTCTTTGTTCCGCGACCTCATCATGTGTGTCTGGGTTATGAGGGCCATTTGGGCTTCCAGGTCGTTCTTCTCCCGTCTAAGGACCCCAGTCTCTCTCTGGGAGACCTCGAGACGCCCGCGGAGGATCCTCACCTCCTCCCGTGCCTTGTTGCGCTCACTCCTTACCTGCAGTGTAGTGGCAAAAATTGTAATTATGAAATGGAAAGTATTTGCTTATTTGTGTTCAGAGTACTATCATTTTTTTTTTTTTTTTTTTTTTTTTTTCATAATGCTCTACTGGGCTGAATCTAAAATATTTAGTTTAAAGAGATAATCTTTCTGCAAACATACAAGCATGTGTGTATGTGTGTGTGTGTATACATATACATATATACATTTATATATATATATATATATATATATATATATATATATATATATATATATATATATATATATATATATGTAGAAAGATATTAATAAATAGATGTAGATAGATATAGATAGATAAAAACCTATCTATCAGTCTAACTACACAGACTTTACTAATCACCTTGCTCCATTTTTCTCTCCAGTTGGCAGTGCAGTCTGACCACCACCTCATGGTCTTCTCCATCTGCGTGGCACGGGCTCGGGCCTCCTCCAGCTCCCTCTGGATGAGTTCCTGCAACAACATAGCTTGTTAGGAGAACTTCATCCAAGTGATTTTCATTTTTCACTGCACATGTCTGTGTTGGTTACTTGAAAATACACTGTATTTGTATAGGTGAAGAGTGGATATCATTTAGTTTTTTTTTTTTTTATTATTAAAACTTTGACTAGCAAGTTAAATAATAATGATCCTACTTACAAATATTTGTGTTTGTAAGGACACAAAAGAGGGGAAAACCTATTATGTACAGTGTGATTTATTTAAGTATAGTTGATATTAATGCTTTAGGTATTTTTTTTACTATTTCATCACAGTGCACATGTCTACATGTGTAATAGTTTATTTAAGCAAAGCAACTTTTAAATTTATCTTTCTGTAATTACCAGTTATCATGTGGTTGAACATACAACCAGCTGTTGTCATGCTCTCAAAATTAAGCTTAAGGAAGGGAGAGGAATATACAGCAGATTCTCACCAGATTCCTGCAACATCTCAATATCATTTGAAGTTGAATCCCATGAGAAAAAAAAAAGTGGGATCTTCCATTTCAGGACAAACAAGTGAGCTCTTTATTCTCCGCAAATCAAAACTTTGTTTTTCTTTCAAGGCATTTTTCTAGCATAAATATGGCCCCTCTGAGACAACCACATAAGGGAAGCCCTTCTTCATCTCTTATTTCTTGGCTTTCTTTTTTTCTTTCTTTTATTTCTTATCATTAATATCAAAGGTGCCTTATGTATATGTATACAAGAGATTACCATCGTAATTTCTTTTGTTAAACTGATGATAAATATCACTGCCATATATCAATTACCTTGCATTGCTGTTTCATAGATTTAGAGAAGGAAAATGGATGAAGTGTATGAGACCTGAGGAGAATAAGGGAAATTGATTGAGGGAAAGGAAGAAGGGAAGAAGGGGAGTAGGAGGAAGATTAGAAGGGTAAACAGGAATAGGAAGGGAAGATGGGAGAGGAAGTAAAAGAGTAGGGAGGGGGAAGAGCAGGTGGAGCAGGAGCAGGGGGAGGAGGAGGAGGAGCAGGAGGATGATGAGCAGGAGGAGGAGGAGGATGAGGATGAGGATGAGGAGCAGCAGGAGCAGGAGGAGGATGAGGATGAGGATGAGGAGGATGAGGAGGATGAGGATGAGGAGGAGGAGGGAGAGGTGGCAGCAGCACAAAAGAAGTAGAAAGCAGAGGAGAAGCTGTAGGAGATGGTAGTTGAAAATGACAATGTGTGAGGAAGATGCGCTAAGGAGGAACTTTTAGCGGGAAAAAGTCAATACATCTTTTCTTGAATCCTAAAATAACTTAGTAATCATTCCTCTGCTTGATGAAAGCAATTTTACTTTTCAGATCAAAAGACATTTTTCAATCTCATTTCCTGTAAATCTGAGACCCAGAGGGCAGAAAGAATAATGAACCACCAAAGCCAAAGACACTGGACAGCAAAAACCATGCAGCAAAATCTCAAGTGACTCCATCAGAACGTGAACTCAAGGCATCCTCCCCCAATGTTCTAGCCTGTTAGCCATAGCTAGAACTTGGGTCAGATTACTTGCCAGGACAGGACCTTCCCCGACTCACTTCATTTTCGAGTGAATAAATGGCCAACGGCATCTCTGAAACTACAGATAGTGATCTTCATCGGCACTTGTTTGCAGAACAGCTTCAAGAGGTTACTTCAATGTGACTCTTATTCATTACTCTTGTTAATATTTTTGCATGTAGCTATTGTGTTTAGAATTGATAATACTTCCTGAAAGGTAAGAAATTAGTTTTTTCATATTTCTTAATGACCTCTGGTTAATTACCCTATATTTTTACTAGCTATTTAAATATCTCTACCAACATTTATAGCCTTACCCTGGCTAATCATTGATGCAAAGCATTATTTTAGAATCATTATAACAAAAATTGTATATCTTAAATAAGATATGACAGAGTTGATTATCATGTTGCAGCAACTAGCACAGACCACAAGTGGTTGTTTGAACTAAATATTATTGTTTGTTTTAAAATTACTGTCTTTTGGATATACTTCAAGAGATGACAGTTATCATTTAAGAAAGTGATAAGGCCTATATATTTTCTGTCCTTACGGAAAAAAAAAATATATATATATTCTATTTTTCTCCAGGACACCATATAATTTACAGTTCTCATCTAAGTAAACAAAACTAATGCAGAATTCTGCAGCAATCTCTGCTGCAAACTGCCACACAAATGCTCACATACATACATACACACACACACACACACACACACACACACACACACACACACACACACACACACACACACACACACACACACACACACACACACACACACGTAATCACCTTGGAAAATGAATTTTTTTATGAAAATATCTAAAATAACATCTAAAATAAATATCCGTTAAATTATAACCCTTTCTAATTCCAATCACAGCTCTTCTGTACAATATTCTATTCCTTTAGGCTTACCTGCTTGTCATGCCAGTGGTATGGTAAGGACACTGGATCGTGTGTGTGGGGGGGAGGTGGATGAGGATGTGCGCCCGGCAGTGGAGCCTGGGCCCCACGTCGGGACGAGCCGCCACCTGACTGGGCCATTTTTCACAACCTCCTGGAAGAGAACGGTTGTATTAGCCTTGCCATTTCAGAAAGTGAGTCGATTTACCTGACTTTTCCAAGATCAAGAGATTTTGGTCAGAGCAAGGAACCTAATTACTAGAATTGTCATTCCTGAAGCCATTTAACCGATTTACTTAGCTTTTCTGTGACTGAGAGATTTTTGGTCTATTTATTAATGTTGATGTTTTAAAAGCACACGTAAAAATGGAAAAATGGTGTGAATTGTTGCTAACTGTTGAGAACAGGACCATAAGAGCTAAGAATTAACATAATAGAAGTGAACACAAAAAATATCATTAACTCATAATGAAAAAAATATATATCTCTCTACACAATCAAAGTATAACAACTTATTAAAAATCTGCAGAGTCTGCTCTTGAAGCTAAGGCCCAGTGACACATTTTCTCCCCCTGGTTTACATTCTACCAATGGCAAACAGATAACCACTTATATATATTCTGGAAGGGCATGTGCTCGTGGAACTCTGTCACCGGACATAAAACTTATCTAAACTCTTATCTTGTCAAATATACATGGAGGCAGTTTTTAGGTCTCTGAGTGTAGGCCATAGCACTGTATAATCACTTAATATAGCCCTACTCTATACAAGAACTAAAAAGAACATTGTCAAGTATAAATATCAATCTGCCCACGCAGGTGAATCCCATAAAGTTATGGCTTTGCTTCAGGAAAGACAAAGAAACAACCACCAAATTAGAAGATGTCAGCTTTTCTGGCAATTTAAAAGTACAAAGAGGAAGTTGTCGCAAAATTTGCCACTTAAATAGGGGATGTTTGTTTGGTCTTTCCTAAGTGTTGAGGCCACGGCATCGCTTCACTCTTATCCTGAACAATTACCTAACTTTTTCTATGCCATATTAGTGATTAAATAGTATTATAACTTTATTGATAAACCCAAAAATTATAATTGATAAAATTGGTAAAATGGTTGCACTAATTTCATCATCAACTGTTGCAATGTTACAGGATATCATTGTTAACAGGATATCATTGTTGCTGAATCTTTCCAAAAATAAATAACAACAATCTACAAGGTCCAACATCTTAAAAATCAAGTTTCCATCACTGTAAATACATTCAAGTTCACAATCCTGAACAAATTGTGAACTTACAAACATTACAATCTCAGAAGTTACTGAACAAAACAATTCCCCAAAACTGTATCTACAAGTGACAAGAACACCTTTCGCCTCTAAATCAATTTTCCATCGATTTCCTCCTGCAAAATAATCACATATTATTTAAAAGAGTCCCCTGCCTTGACCCCGAGGCAAATACACCCCCTAGAACCCCAGCACAGAGGTCACTGCCCACACGACTCACTGACAGCCATAATTAGGGGAAATAAAACGATTCCCTTCAGTCGAAACCACTCGAAACCGCCCGCAAATACCCGCCACACCACGCCTTTTCCTCCCCAAATAATCCCTAAATCCGCTTTCAAAACGGCGTGTCACATCCCCACGTCAGGAATCTTCATGACTGAGACACCAGCCCTTCCTCCTCCCGACGCCTTTTCTCGCCTTTTACGCCCCTCGGCCTCCTCTCCTCCTCGCAGCCCCACGCCCACCCTCCGACCCGGCCCTCCGACGCCCAGACCCCAAGACCCGCGTGGAAAGAGCCATTAAAAGACGCCCACGAAACTCACGATGGGTGCATCCCGTCGTCACATCTTGTAATGTTGACAACAAAAAAACTCGGAAAAAAAACAAAAACAAATCGCCGCTGCTGCCATC